TAACAAAGTCGGTGGGTTCGATGCCAAAGAGACTCGAAAAAGTCCCAAAGAACAAAGGCAGACCAATCGACTATTAGGGTGCACAAACTTTACACCTTAATTATTATCACTGTTTATTTGTTGTAAATGAAAATAGTTTTATTCTCTTTAGGTACCTCTTAACTCATCATGGTCTAGGTCAACCACTACTGATAACATGGGAGTATTCCCTACATTCTGAACCATTCCATTTGCTGAGTATAAACGAACCGGGAAAATCACGGCTATAAAAGCTCACCAAGGCTTGTTTATTATTATTTGGAAAAAAATTACTTCAGTATAAATGCTGTTAGCTATACGTACCAGCAATTGTTTCACAGGGACCTGTTACTTCAGTTTCGGTTAGACCTATATAAAATCGCATTCTTTTCCATTGCTGCTTTATTAAAATCTCTCTTGCCAAAAATTCTGAAAATCTAACATAAGATATCTTTGCCAAATGTCAAAAATGAGCATTCCGAAACCTCCTAGATTCATTAATCAAACTACTCGTCAAAAATACAGTCTTTAACATTTCTGAGACGGCTTCCAATAGTTTCTGGGTTGGTAGAAAGAAAGCATTGCACTCCCATATCCAGTTCTCGACATCTATTTCAATAAACGTTACCATATGACAGGTGCTTATTATTGCGCCATTATTTTGTTCCACACTCCTACTATTTATGGCGATTTCCCCTCATGGGCCACACAAGAAAGCCATGAACAGTTTGCTTCTTTTCTCTATATCAGTGCATTTTTATTCATCCCGTACTGTTCTGCTCTGATTTTCCCGGACCTCGTTAAAAAGGATTTCATCACTCGTTACGGTAGTGTGGCGCTGATTAGCTAATAGTCTCAAGCTGTGATCTTCATATGACCTCTTATGAGAAACTTTTTTCCAGAAATGATCTCGCGACCTCAGCTTTCCTCTAACTCCTGATTATTCCAACGGCCGTTCCCATGTAATAACCAGATTCAACTTTCTATGACTACCATACCGTGAAAACATTTATTACAATTAACTGACTCTTCGGTAGTAACAGCATTTACTTTTATTGGAATCTTGTCCTAGATGATTGCACAACTTATAACGCAGCTCAAGTGATTCCAATACATATATACGACGGTCATCAAACGGATCAAGGAGAACGTTGATTGACTGCCTATGCTCCTTTTATATCTTACTGTGCAATTGTCCACTAAATAAAATGAGTAATAACGACTCTCATACTGAAGTAACATCAACCCAATGAAATAAGCTGGTTGTTGAGCGATTCCATGCAATAAATACTCGACCTAATCAGTCATTTTTACGGAAGGTTTTCGCACCAGCGCCACAATGTTTTGTTCCATCCGATCTCAGCCAAACCGTCGGTCATTCCGTTCTTGGCTAATAGGCTCAATAGACAATAGCTTTCACGGGTAACAGCCCATTTGTTTATTCGTATAGCCTGGTTCATTGTTCGTTTTTTTCAAAATTCCTCAAGGGTTTGTAGTATTACGTACTGGCTAAATTCTGCTTTTTTATACCAAAGAGAAATCCGTTCGTCTTGAAGACCACCAACTACACTATCGTATCATAGACTGGTGCGCCGGGAATAGATTACCTTTAAAACCTTATCACAGTATAGTTCACTTTTCTTAAACCAAGATGTATGTGTCCCGTATTACTGTCCGTTTACACTAAATTTCCATTCTTTTATTTCATAGTCTTAGTTGCTTCGCAATTGCCTTCACCTGTTTCGGGATAAATGCAATACGTATTTACAAAGCACCGACTATGGAACGTAATTCAGACGTGTACAACCCAAGGTAGGCCGAACATTTGATCATGCATCATCTCTCTGACGTTGAACATTTGTTTTAATAACTAAATATCTTACTTTTTTTCGCAGAAACTGACTTTTGTGCGATTATTTCACGGATTGTGCTTTAACTTGTTTGGACTGATCCATTATTTTAAATCGAGTCTCACATCCCAGTTTAACTACTTAAGAAAAGAAAATATGTATCTCCCCTAAATGCATCCCGATCCCTTGAAGTTGTGAAGTTCATGAATAAAAATGTAAAGCTACTTTTCAAGCACGAGATTCACTGATAAAAAAAGGGAAAACTACTGGGTGAGCCTTAGCGTTAATTCCTTCCTAACTTTTTTCTCATATAATTATCATTCTTCAAAGATCGCACCTTCAAANCCTTCAAATGGTATAGCTTGCTGAATGGGTTTTGAACCTGTGCAGACCTGATAAAATTTATCCATAGAACCTTAATTTTACTCAAGAGAACGAAGATGATGAGCACCCCACCCATTTCCGGATGTTCTACTAGTCCGTCGACCAGACGGAGAGTCCGTGAGCACCACTCGGTCTAGTTGAATAGTGGAATAATTAAGTCCATCAACAGCTCGATCGTTTCACACCTAGTGCGATCAAAACATGTGGTTAATGTGGCCGAGGCGTTTCGACCCCTTTACTTATTTCGAAGCCATCGATCTATGAGGATTAGGAGTTGCTTTCTGGTCACCGTGGAATCCGCCTACATGATACTCCTCCCCTATACTCTGAACAACAATTCATAAAACCACTCGGCCTTCCATGGCCAACACCACACACGACACAGCTATCCCCCCAACCACCCCTAATGACCCGATCCAGTGCGTATGTGTGAGGATCAAAGTGTGAGTAACATCCGGTCATGGAACTGGAATGTTGATTATTTCCTTTCCAATTTGGCATGATTTCTCCCTTCTACTAAACAGCTTGATATAATTTGTGATCTATTAGCCTGTAGAAGAATCGGCGCAAACGAGCTTGTTCGCTACTCCAAGTTTTTTTATAATGCTTAATGATGATATATTCGGGCAATTAAATCCCAGATCCTGAGTTAGACGACTATTTTCGTAAACAGGCCGGCGGACACAGAACCTCTTGCTTTTACTGGTCGTTTCATATATTTGTACCGAAAATTCGTGGTTTAGTATGACCAAGGCATCGCCTCACAATGGGGAACCCAGATTGCTCCTGGTTAGCTAGAAAAATGCAACGAACGAAGAAAACAGTATTCTTTCCAAATATTTTTTAGGAGTTCCCTAAAAGCTAAAACCCTTCAGATAGAGTTCCCGGACTGGTCAAACGTGGAGTGTATATGCCATCGGGTTGATGCAGAAAGTTTACGGGAGACTTGAAAAGAAAGAATTGTGCTCATTTATGGAGTTTTACAGATTATTGATTCATAGGAGTTTAAAATTTGCAAGGAATGGCGATTTATACACAAATGACCTGGATGTCACAATGAGCCAATATATCATTACTAATGGTCCAATGATAATGAAAGTCACACTTGCGACTCCAGAAGCGAGCGTCACCGTTTCGCAGATGCTGCGCGAAATAAAAGAGGATCATTGCAACTGCACCTGAACTCCTGTTCAATTCTACCCCAAAAATGATCCACTGTTTGAAAACATCACCAACACATCACAATCGGTTGATCAAAGCATCGGAGCTTCCCAGATAAATTATACTGACCGACCATGAAGTGGGTGACAAAGAGACAATTTCTTATCGAAAGTTATTTCTTAACCGATAAAAGTTAACCTGTTGTTAAACCAATGACGAAAGATTCTTTAGAAAATTTTCCGAATTCCACTTTTTAGCCAATCTTCTCAGTGAGATATCATCAATGTTAGAGAATCGTGTCCGTCTGTTGATTTACTTGGTTTTATCTTGACTGGGGCGATCTCCACTAGACTGCAATCTTTCCATATATGACGAGTGGGTTGTTCATTTATGGGACCGTAGTTGCGCTACGTTATGACGGTCCACAACCCCACGAGAAATCAGACGGTAAACAACAAGGTGCATAGTTATAATGAAGTTCTCTGCAATGGAACAGACGTCGTGGTGTATGTGCGTGTATGCATGCATGTCAAAATGGTGTTACAGAAAATTTCCCACTTAACGTCACTGGAGCCTCGACTTAGGTGGACCGTAAACTAATCAAAGTTGAAACTGATATTTTATATGGGGTGCATTTTCAACTCAATTAAAACTGATCCCATTCAGTATCGTGAATCAGTATTGATACATGGCGATGGAAAGGAGTATTGAAGCAGTGTATTTTGTTATGAAAGGGAGTTTATCGTGCATTTGGTAGAATTGATATGAAAAAGTGACACACCAATCTTTCATTCTGGTTGATCGTAATCAGTGATTCGACCACATTGATCCTGAGGAGTATAAAGAGTGCTGTGGATCAGCGGACTTCCAATTGGATTTTGATTTGAACCGAGTATCCTTCATATTTCACCTTCACAAACAATCCTCAGTTATTCCATTGAATTCAAGAAGCACTAGACTCTAGTTTTCCTCCTGTAAGAGCTCATCAATAGCTGACACCTAAAAACCCTTCCGGGGTTTGAATCCTGGTTTCCTCGCATGAAAAGCGGATTTGTTAGACTTTTGCTAACCAACTCACATTCCATCTGATCAGAATGATCAATTCAAGTTGGTTCAGACTTTCGTCCTCAATGATATTCAGTTCATCAAACTAGACAGCAAAGAAAAGAAACACAGTGGACTACTTGCTAACTGCTATTTATGCTGAAATACACACTACAGTACAATCGCAGCACATTGCAGTTAATCTAAACCAATCATAACTGAACAGATGGCGTACAATAAAATCAATCAATGCAAAACGGCCCAACCTTTTCGTTTCCTCAACTAATTGCATTCAGAACTCGCTCAAGTACACACTCATACAGTAAAGATGATGCTGAACAGGGACCTTATGGAGTAAAATGCACCGGACATGGACGTTTTCTGTCAATACTTTACCTCCTAATTTACTTTTTTCATGATATTAAAGTTTATCCGGTAAACGAGATACTTATGACGAACAAAACGAAACTCTAAATAAGTTTACTTACCAAATACAGTTGTCTTATTTTGCCCAATCCTGTCCTTCATGAATAAACTTTTCCCATGCAAAGTCGCCAAATTGCCTTCAGCGGTGCTGTTAAAAACATCACCCGGAACAACTCAAATCTCATGTTAAATTGGTGTCGTAATGTGACACACGGATACAAGGTGAGTGGTTAATTTAGCAGCAGAATGAGCTGCAAATTAGGATGATTTGGTGCATATTTCTTCTAGTGAAGCTCATGTTCGCTTGTCATATACTTATACTTTATACTTATCCGTGATAACCCTGGACCAAACTATTCAACAATTATCAGCGAAATATATGTGGTTTTGGTGACAATCGTCTGTTAGTTGTAGTACGATTTCTACGCATGGGTGAACGGATTATTGTACTTTAAGTCGCCTCACATTTGCACTCTGAATTTGGTAACCTAAACATTATTAAACCTCTTCTATGGCATTGATTTCTTTCACTTCAAAAAGGAGAGGAAAACGATCGCAGATATTTGCGCGTGTACTAGTGGTGGTTGTAAAAAATACAGAAGACTGTTCGAACACACTTATATGCCACACTGGTATGCCTACGACCAAATCAATTAGCTCCTTCAACTGTTTCCTGGTTAAAACCAGATGATACGATCAACTTATAACCAGTATGGATTGTTTGAATTTTTGATGCCTAGTGGAACAACAGACTAGACCATTTCTACCCAAATGCTTCTTGTTGCTCTCAACGCCAGCCTACACTGATTCATATTTATTGCGCAACACTGAACAGATTACACCGTTCAAACTACTCTTCTTAGATGAGTAGTTATGCGAAGGGTATTCGTTGTAGGAATTAAGTGCCATGATATTCAATTAGCCCGAGTGTGCGTTCTTCCTTCGTACTGATCACAGCTGATTGTAGACCACCATAAAATATCTCAACATCCGCTTTAAGTTGACACACCTAGTGATATAGAATTTGCAAAAAGTAGCTGTGTTTCATTTGTTCACAAACCGAGATCCAAAACGCTGCGGTTATTCTATCTCTGAGCTCATACACGATCGATTTCAGGTTCGTGTCTTTGTTTAGCAAACCTTGAACAAGCTTTTTAGATCACCTTGAAGTAGACGTGAAATGCTAATTTGAGAGCGATAACTTGTCTCATGCTAGTCAAATGGAAACCACGCAAAGAAATCCATTAGTGTCCTATTCCGATTTTCACTATTTTTTGGAAAATAAAATCAAAAATGGATTGTCTTTGTCCACCAAGTTTAACTTAATCTACCTATCGCTGTATTTGTAGATTGCAGAATGCAGCTCATGTAGTCAGCCTGTTTAAATGGATTGAAAAGAACCAACTACGCGAAGATAGAACAACGGCGTCATACTTTCACAATCAGCATCAAATTAAATTCTTCCGATTCTCTATGGTGATTTAAACTGTAATGTTGTTAAATAATGTCATCATCAAGTGAGTTGGTAAACCTAAAATTTGATTCTCGACAAAACTATCGATCGCTGCACATTAGTGCATAGAAATCTGCCTCATTTCGGCGCAGATATTTTCGGAGGTTTCCTCTCTAATTAGTAAGATAAAATAAGGTATACATTCGTTTCCGGAAGTTTATTGCCGCACAGCATTCAAGCGATTAGTCAATCTAACTGAAAGTCAGAACAAGTCTTACTGTCAGGCGTTGCCCTGATTGGCCTCCAGATAAGCCAAATTTTCCAACTTACCCATTACCCCGTAACAAATGTGTAGTACATCCGCTTACGCCAGAATCAGTCAGTAACATTTTCAAACAAGTGCTGTCACTAAACATGGTCTAACACAGTGAATTTGATGGCTTCAAACGGTCTGAAGCTAGGTATACCGTGTCACCCGTTTAACTTGATAAGTTCGTCACCCAAAAATCTCATAAAAACACCTATTTGTTACGCACCGATAGCACACTTGAACGTTTATTCAGCACGCACAATGTGTTGTCCTAACTCTCCTGTACACGTTGACCGACAAACTGATAGATGATGATTCTACTGATTAAGTGAATTTTCTGCAGCATTTTCGATGATATTCACCTGACTGCATGAATAATAAATGAAAAATAGGATTATTAAATCAGGTTACGTTTTAAACTTACCTTTACCGTACTTCCTGCTGCTACAAACGAGGAAAGAAAAAACGTGAAATCAATTTCTGTCTTTTTTCCTTGACCGTTTTCAAATTACAAAATGCCTTTTTTTAAGGATGCACTTAAGCAAAATGGTTACGTCATTTCTACATGATAGTATTTACACTCGTTTCAGCCAGCTTTTGATCAAAGGATAAATCTGGGAATTAAAGTTTCAATTTTTACACCAAATAGTAATAGTTCTATTGAATGGCTTTTATCAGTTCTTGTTTAGTGTGACCAAGTTCCGTCCCATATATTTGTTCTTCTATCAGGGTATTGATATCAAGGACTTCGGGGAGAGTTGGAGAGATGGTTTGGCATTCAGCGCACTAATTCATCGTTTCTATCCGGAAGCATTTGACTATTCCAAGTTGTCAGCAGCCAACCCCAGTGAAAATCTCCAACTTGCGTTTGAAAAAGCTAAGTGAGCACCCTGCTTATATCCATCTTAATTATTTTTATTGTAGTTAAAAATGTGAAATTTTGGATCAGCATATTCCATTTCGCTGGCACAAGGCAATTTACATGATAGTCTTGAAACTCGGGTAGCTTCCGCTTCCTGGGTGAACCTTTACTTTACACATGGTGAATGTGCCCTATCTACGGGGAGAAATTCCCGTTCTAAGATCGACACAGAGCAATGGAAAGATATTTTATCCTTGGTCAGACTCATCAGTAGCAATGAGTACTGTCATTTTGTCCTTGGTGGAAGTTAAAATACGAATTGTCCGGTTAGGAGTTAAAACCCCTTAACCCGGGGCTACGCAGCCGAAGGTTAGTGCATTGAAAGAATAGCGGTCAAAGATATAGTGTTTTGTTTATCTCGCTTGATTATCAAGACACTACAGACTGTCTTTGGTTGGACTCCTGGTTTCCCTATACTGCGCCAACGACTACAGGCTCACGCCTGGATATTTGTTGTCCCTATTGGACGGTATACGATTTGCACTGAACTTTCATGGGACCCATAGTTGTTTTTCTTTTAATTTCACTCAGCCATATGAATCCACATACAAACATTCAATAGAAGTGTTCAGCCCAATAGAATAACACAACTTAAAACGAATTGAACTTAGTTAACTCACGTTGTTTTCACTAAAACTGAAATGATTCCTAACTAATTTGGAGTATCAAGTTTTGATTGTTCACAGACATCAAGCATTCTTGATGGTTTGGGATATGGTTTTCACTGCCTGGTGCCTCTGAACATTCGAACGAGCTAATCCAAACTTGATACTTTAAATTGGTTGAGTCACTTTCACATGGTGATAACCGTCGATCGTGTAGTTCAGGATTAAGGGTTCGAAGTCCCGACTTGAGTGTTCTCGGTTTTAACCCTAAAAGGGACACAAAAGATACGCACTGCTGACAAATCCCAAACAGGACGAGCCAGCTTTTCAGTGTTCTTTGTCGGTCTTTACAAATATTTCCGTTACAACTAAATTCTTAACTGAGTTCTTAGTTTTGACAGATAAATTTCAATCACGTTTCTTTTTGTCTGTTTATGTGCTTCCTCAGATTACTGGCCCATGTGACACCGGTGATTGACATAGACTACCTATTGAAAGCCAAGTCCTTGGACCCGAAGGTCATATACACTCAACTAACTTTATACTACCGTGAACTTCATCGTAAGCCAATCCAGCGCAACAGCTATTCATCAGTGGGAACTGCTCGCGAATCACCGGTTGATGATCTGGAATCAGAAGAACAAGAATGAACTCTCCCTGTTGAGTGTGTTTCTTTACACGGGTTGTCAAATAAATCAATTCAGACAACATTCATTTGGAAGAGACCTAGTGAAATTCAATACTACACCCTGTGGTTTAACCCCCTTATTGATCATTTGCGTTGAAGTTGCTTCAATAAACATTTTACCCAAGAACGAATTGTTCTGATAAGATCACCAGTCAGATGGTTATAGTTTAAAAAACCTAGTCATTTGGTGCTAAACCAGAAAAAACTAAACAGAAAAGTGTATAGATATTTCGGTGACCTCCAAAATGAACATCTTTGAAACCCTCTCAATTTCGAGAAACAGGTAAGTGAAACAAGCACGTCTGTCTACCTTGCCATAGGTGTTTAATGTGTGTATTCAGGAATGAATGATATCAGTGTCATAATGAGTGTAGGAAGAACGAGGTGGCACGTTGAAACAATTTTCTTCAATATCCGATGCAAGATGAGAGACTGTGTAAAACATTAGCCTTCTCCGGACTATATGAATAGACTTGAGCATGATGAAGTGTATTATCGAGATACTTATATAATTTATTTTGCAACTACGGAAACAAACTTCAATCTTCGATTTCCGAGATCCGTAACAAATTCAGCTTCGAAAGTGACACGGCCTGGATAAACTGCTACGAGTTACAGCCCAAACCACTCCCAATTCTTGAGTGCACACTTTAATTGGCTTAAGTGATATAAGAAAAAATATCGGATTTGTGCTCTGCCGCGAGGGAGAAACGAAAGTATTATTTAACAACAATTACTTTTCAGTGCAATGAGACCAACAGATGCCACATTTAAAAATGGCGATTTGGACAGTTTTTCGGGGACAGACGCTTCGGACAGGAAGGTTCTCCGTGGAAGGAGGATTTTAATGCAATCTGCGAGGTAGGAAACTTACCAACAATCATGAACTAAAGGGTTCGTTAAATATATACACAGTATTCACACTCAATCCAACACAGCGGCAACAAGATCATTTTGCCTGTGGTCACATTCATTTACAGATAACTTTGTTGACGCTGATCACATGAATAAAAGGAGCGATTCACACCTATATTTTCGTTAGTTATTTTGCTCAATGAAACATCACTTTTATTGCAATAATACTTTTCCTTTCACTTCACTTCTTGTGTTTTATTGCGCACAAATATCTGCTCAGGCATATGCATAAGCTGTGTCATGTTCCGAAATACGCTTAAGCTCCACTCATTTTGTATCTTTGGCTAACGATTTTACGAAATACGTATTTCTAGCAATGATTAAACAGATGAAATAAAAGAGAAAGAGCGATTCCACGAAATCTCGACAATGGTTGTACCGTGATAATTTGCCGAATGAATAGGGAGAAACGAATGAATGAGTGAGCACGCATAAAAGTGGAAAAGAACATGCGTTGTCCACCTAGGTGGCCTTGGTCATCGAAAATAACCTAGGTCACGTAAGTTAGGTTACATTTTACCACATCTGTGCATTATTGGTTTGCAATGTTTAACCGACACATTGGTGTGTATAAGGTAATTTCCAATACCACCATACGCCAAAAATACCTCCGACAACTATGAGTGTTTTCAACTTCAGGCAACGATAAACCTGGAAGGAGCGCGTTACGATATCCGAAAAACCTGTCCCTGTCAGCCAATGGTCTCGGAAACAGCAGAATAAGGTCCCCAGAATATCACACAGAAAGACCTAGTTCGACAGCATTCCGAATTTTTCAGGTCCCTGGAAGAGTGGAATCCATCTTAGCCGGGACTTTTGGAAAACCCTAATAATAATTATTTTCTGAATACTTATAACTGTGCATAATTCAGTCCATTTACTCAAAACTATTGATTTATTTCATTTCAGTTTAGTTCCGTTCATTTCAGTTCAGTTTGCACTGGATAAAATGGCTCTTGCTAAATGAGCGTCCATTTATTTGGTATCAGATTTGTATACAGATTTGTTCATTGTGATCCTCTCAATCTAGCTCAGTTCCCCCGATCTTTACGCCTTCGTTGGGTGTGCTAAACGAGAGGGACGTGAGGGACTCTAAGGTTCGCAAGCGATTATGTTTAAAAAGCACATGCCACAGGCATTCAGTTTGAGAAAAGTCAGGTTAGGTCAATGTGGTGATTGCTCATGAACTATGAACTGTTTTGTTTTATTGAACACGATAAAGAAGGCAAATTACAACCCCGAAGTGACAGCTATTTTCGCCAACGTGCCAGAGCCCACAACAAATACACTGAGGGAGAAACAGGAAGAGGAGCTTGATCGCTGGGCTGATTTATGCAACCAAATGGGTACCGACGTTCACCCAGTTGGAATCGCGCGGCTGTTTCGCCATCCTTCGTCGCCGCATTCTGGGGAACCACGACTGACTCCCGTAACATTTACTGACGAGAAGAACCTGGAAAAAGTTCTTCTCTCTAGTTACCTTCTAAAGAAAGATTCGTGTAAAACAAGAA